CCCTGCAACCGTGACTTGACGAGGGAAATCTTGGTAACACTGTAGTTTATTGCCGATGCAGCAGGGTCTAGGAACAGTTGTGATGATCCAGGACATTTACGGACATTTCTGGATATGTATTGACAGATATAGACACATATATAAAACATTTCAAAAAAATGTGCGGATTCACAGATATCATAATTTAAACAGTGAAAAATAACAAATGGGCTTATGATTTAGACGCCCAACAAAACTCCATGGAACGAGAACCAGGGCTGTGACACCCACAATATTGATTTTAAACCTTTTAAACAGTAACATTAAAAGAAGAACTTCTTTTTGTTTCTATAAAAATAAGATAAAAATCTTATTGTGTCTCTACCTCTCATATTATACCTGTATGCTGTGATTCATTGCAATGTATCTCCTGGTATTAAGCATGCTTATCTCTTGTATGAAATGTGTAATACAAATACATCTTGATGGAATTAGTTAATGACAAAAAATAAGAAAAAGAAAAGTCGAAAAATTCAAACAACCAAGCTCTTTGATTGCAATGACAAGGACTCACACAAGAATAAATGTTCCAAATAGTTGCTATTCTACATTATTCTAAGACAAACCACAAACCAAGAACTCCATAAAAAAACCTTCTGTACAATGCTTTCAGAATAATGCACAACCTCTAATCTGAAATGGAATATTTACTTTTTTGTCTTATGCCTGTATGCAATGCCATAATTGAAAAAAAACAAGAAACCATCCTTGCCTTTGCTATATTCCTTTCCAATACATAAAGCAAGACAATAGCATAACAACAGAACCGTGAACCAACTACTGATAGGACCGCATGGTACTGTATGTCACAGAAAAACAATCGTACAAACAATACCACATTGCTACTGCAAGAATGGCCGTCAAATAATAAAACACACAAACTTTCCCTTCTGTTGCATTGTGTAGGTACAAATCATACATACCTCCTTGTCTACATATTTTCTTGCCCGGTTTCCTCGCACATTCCTTGGATATTCTTTTGACTGTAAATGAATAGAAGACTAAAGAATAACATAGAGCCCCTGAATGAACCGCACACAGGAACTATAGCTTGGCATGCACACGCACGCACACACACACTCGTAAGGAACCTCGCACACGCAAAAAGCCATGATTGTGAGAAGGCAGCAGCATGGAGACATAAGGGGGAGAGGTAATGGCACCGGCCTTAATCAAGGTAGCATTTCGAGGGTGTCACGGGGGCCGAACGTACGCTGGTCACGGATTGTAATACTCGTTAGATGTAGTGCGGTCTTTTGTGACAGACTACAATGGATGGTGATTTGCTAAGGAATGGTTTGGAAAGAAGAAATGAGAAAAAAAGAAAAAAAAACATATTAAGGTAGTTCACAATATATACTGCGGGGTTAACAAAGCCTAATTTGGATGACGACTGCTGATATAGCGCAAAGGAAATGGGATTCAAGGTTTTGGTACAGCAATGGAAAGTGTTGGAAATACAAATGCAGAGTAGCAAGTGAAGAGCCGAGGATTTAAAGTAGGGGTACCTAGCTTTCAAACATAAAACAAAAATAGGATATATTAGGTTAAATAATTCATCTACAGTTTATGGCTCTCAAAACAGTTTGGTTTCATTAGTTTTCTCATGAATGTGACCTTTCTCATATGTTTAGATCAGATTTCTAAGTCCTAAATTTTAAAACACAGGGACCACTTTTCCAGCCGGACAAGGTTGGCTTAAGCGAATAAGACAACATGGTTTATTTCTTTCTCAAAATGTTGCTTGACTACCATGGTTCAAGAAACAGAAAATAGTTAACTTATGAGTCTAACACCTATGCACGGCCCTTTGTTGTAGGTGTTTGTATTCTGCCTACTGCTGTGTTATTCAACTCAAGTGCCTTGAGATTTTGTTTGGTAAACCTTTTGGAAATTATCCAAGAACAATATGGGAAAATTGTGGCTCATTTTAATGTGAAAGGAAAACAATGTGATAATATTAGAAAGATTTGTTTGTGCTTGTTTGATTTTCTATGACTTTGCTTCGTTAATAAAGACTTGAGTTTCATGGTTGGATCAGTTTTAGTTGTTGGTGTGACATGTGTGCCACCGCTCAAAAACCTTTGGAAACACCGTTCAACAATACATTTAAATCTACTTCCTCCTAAAAGTAATTTCTTTTGCACTAAACATTTTCAATAACAAGTATTGAAGCTTTGGCATTGGCTTTTTTGTCCTCTTGAATTTGGTGGATTGCAGTTTCATCGGGTCGATAAAAGTCATTTGAATACTCACCTCATATTTCAATTTTGGAATTTGGATTCTGTGAATGAACTTTTTAGTAAGGTCAGGTCAAACACAAACTTTGATTCAAAAAGTGCCAGTGAGACTAAATGATGTGGCTCACGTCACACTGCTCCTGTCAGTGTAGCTTATGTGAGTGACTGCACTTAACGGCCCTGGTGACACTGACGTAACAATTAAAGTTTGACAAGGGGGGCAAACTGTGCCGCCGCTATAAATCCTTCACAGAAGCCTGCAGCATTTTATTGTAAAAATAGATGTTTCACGTTTAACGCAGGATTTAAAATATATTGTCTGGATAACACCTTTTCAATTTTGAGGGATTAAGTATTTGAGATGAGTGGATATGAACAAAAACACATGCCACATTCTTTATATGTGTCTCGAAATCATATTAGGTCCGGTCCGATCGTTAACTATGCATTTATTACATTCATTATATGTATTTCATTATTTATGTACATTTATTAATATGGTTTTTAGGTAGAGAATCAAATCAGAAAGCAGAAAAAAGCACCATGTGAGTCCGTCATGTGGGTTGCTTATTTGTTGAAATCCAGCTGGTTTGAATCATTCAGGTTAATCATACTATGTTTAATTCATTCCGCTCTTTTCCGTAAACATGTCCAAGCGTATCTACATCAATGCTTTTATTTTCTCATGAGTGGTAGTAGGCCATGGCAAATGTGGATGAATGAGCTATAGAGAGATTGATGGATAGACATATTTATTGTATTTATTTTCCAGACTGATTTAGAGACGGTCGGTGCTGTGTTCACTTCCACCTGCAGTGTTTTGTTTGTTTTTATTGAATTGTCATGGGATATTATATGTTTGTTGTGGTTATTTCTTGTGATGTTTAAAAGTCTTTTGATAGATTTCAATGTCTTCTACTTCCTTTTCACCGATTGAAAATAAGCTTCACAAGGTCTTATATCTTTTTAACTTAACGTAATTAAAGACAATATGTGACTTACAACTCCCTGGAAACTATTGCATAAAAAAAGGCTTCATCTTCGGAGCACAGAGGATGTTTCTCTGGGCTCAAAATCAAGTATTTCAAATGTTTTATCTAGATTGATAAAAATCCCGACTAATCCCACTAATAGGGAACGTGAGCTGGGTTTAGACCGTCATGAGACAGGTTAGTTTTACCCTATACTGATGATGTGTTGTTGCAATAGTAATTCAAAGACTCGCAGTCACCTGCAGAGATCTCCTTTACAGACTTTGAACACTAAACACATTTGCACATACAGAAACCACTTTTCCAGCTTTTATTACCTTTTTTTATTAGTTTCTATTTTAAAGTGCATGCATAAAATTCAGTTATGGAAGCTTTTTATTGCACTATATTAGACTTTTGGGGAAAATAAATGTATTCAATAATACATGTATTTTAAAATACTTCTAAATCAGACTGAGGAAAAGTGTCCTACACAAACATAGCTGCTCTTATCAGTCTGTAATGTTGTCTACATCCCTGCATTGTGTGTGTGTGTTGTTTTGTTGTAATTGCCTTCTTGTTAGTTCCATCTATGTGACAGTGTCTGTGGAAATGAATTTCCCTCAGGATACAATAAAGGTATATATATTGATCTATTTAATTATGGTTTTTTGTTTTGTTTTGGAGCCCTGGCATGAGGGACAGACTACAAAAACAACTTAAAGCTGGGGTACCTAACTCTTTCAATTTGAAAATGATTATTACATTGCATTTGTCCAAACATAATGACTGTTGTAAAATGAATCAAAACCTGTTTTTTATCTTATTAGAAAACATGTCATATTTTAGAGTTGTGTGTTTGAGGGCGCCACCTGCATGTGAAGTGTGTGAATGAGTGTGTGTGAGACCTCTGGAAACACCGGGTGCCACAGTGGGGCGGCTGTGGCTGTAACGTGCCAATTGTCATTGTGTCCTACGGCAAGACACTTCACCTACTTTGCCTAGAATGAGTGTGTGGAGGACACCGCACGTCAGCCCATTAAAAGCTGTTGGTGAAGCAACAGTATGACACGCAATAAGTGAATTGATGATGAAGCGTCTTTGAGAGTCCAAAAAAGCACTATATAAAACTGATGAATAAAACATTTGAGGCTTTGGAGTGATAGTTGATTGGCTGTGTGAGGGCAGACCTCACTTTTTCACTTTATTGTCTGAAAATGCTGATCTAAAGAAGCAAACTGTTTTTGAGCCTTATGTGGTACGAATGTTTGGTAACCCAGCTTTAAATACATGTAACAGAGTAGGTCAGCTTTGGTATTTTCACTTATATCTTACAGTTTAAAAACACTTCCTGTGAAATGTTTAAGTTTGAGACGTGAGCTCATGAAAACATATTGCCCTCAAATAGAAATGAATAATTACATGTTTTACACTATGCAAATAGGTATATAGTACTGATGCCTACAGGAGAGTCAGAGGGTCAGTGAAATGAAGAAAGTGAATACTGTATAATAAATGTATGCACACACACACACACACACACACACACACACACACACACACACACACACACACACGCTCACACTCGCCTCTTCCCAACCATTCAAACCAGTTCTTTCTCTTTGCGGTTGCCATGCACATGCACAGAAACATGCACAAGACAGACGAGACACAGGACGGACAAGAATGCACACTAGCTAGGCACGCTAATTGGAAATCACTCCCCCTGTTTATTACTGTTACATCTCACCTATACCCTGAACTCGCGCGGGTACTCACCATCTTCTGTAGGTACGTAGATGTTTAGATAGAGGCAATCCTCGCTCTGATCTTGCACGTAGCTGGACACCACATCCATGCTATTGGTGAACCACACGGGCAGCATCACGTCCGGGAGTCGGCCTTCTACGATGCTCTGCGGGCACACCGGGGCAAAGTGCGTGGCGTTGCGAATTTCCGGCCACGATAAAGGCGGTTCCGGAGGCTGGAATCTGCGCTCGCCGGTGGGGGGTGCTGCGTAAGGGACTCCCAAAAATTGCACCACCGGACCTAGAATCTCGTTGTTGAGTTCTTTTTTGATGCCGCGGAGTCTGCCGTAGACCGTGGTCACTACCGGGTCATTTTCGTCCAGCTTTTCGGCGTTGGCGGTAAGAGCGCACGCATGTAATAGCGCTAGACAAAGCCAAAGTAAAGACATTCGACATCTCAGGTTAAAGCATCCTGGGAAATTGACGTATCCGGTCATCTCGTTTACTTCCGGGTTGGTCGGAAGCAGCCGCAACCCTCTCCGCGCATGGAATCTCCACCAAGCCATTGCCGCTATAATCCAAAACGTGCTTTACGCTTGTTGCTCGCCGAGTTTAAAAATCACTCTCTCATGCCGCACTTGAGACACACGCGCCAGAACTAGCACATACTCCACAGCGGTCGAGAGAAAGACAGTCACCGTGCCTAATGGTCCCTTTTAAAATCCAAACCATACGGTGGCAGTGCAACAGCCATTAGTTTCCTCCTGCTTGGCAATAGATGAGCGGCAAATTATTCCTCACAAAGGCGCTGCCAGAACAGATGAAGGAGTCGACAGGGATGACTTCATCTTCAAGTGCCACAGTTCATCACGGTGACAAATCAGTCGGCAAGCAGGGATCCCGTGCTTTGGGTGAGGGCCACGGGCAGTTTTGGAGGAGGCAGAACCATGCAGGGGTGGAGTGATGGGCTGTGGTCAGGGTAGAAGTAGTGCTCTTCCTGGAAGAAAGACAGAGAGAAATACAAAACAAGAATTTTAGATATGCTGTGTAGGTATCATGAGCATCTCCGACAGCAGTTTGAGGAAATTGGCATGTACAGAATATTGCAAAAAGCATGCAAAAGAGTGGGAAAAGAGTCGATCAATGCGGCTCTGTGTGGAGTGCATTTTTAAGACAGTTACAAGAAAGAACTCACAAGAAAAATATATAGTATTTTCAACTTTTAAGTATAGATGTATTTGTTTGTGTGAAAGAGTACTTCACAACCTAAGTTTCGAGCACAAACAAATGTAATAATTTAAAAAAATATATCCATAAAACTAATTTCTTATTCTCATAAAACTTTGTTTCTTTAACTAGCGGTGCAGACAAACTTCACAAGTTTTCTTCTGTCTTCAAATAAAAACAGTCATATAATTAGCAGTATGTTGAAACCTTAGGAGTACGCTGTGAAAAACCATACAAAATCGTCAAAACTATTTCCATCTATAAACGTGTCTACCTCTATCCGCTCTAAAAATCTACAAACGTACAATCAGTCTAATCAAGCACTGCTACGACCTCAGTGATTTTCAAAGGCTCCGCTCAAAAGCGCGTGAGATAATCGTGTCCATTGTCTGACACAAGAGCAACAGAATTCAAGACTGATTAACACAATGGTCCTTCTCTATCGATAATTATGAATAATAACCTCAATTGTCAAAGACAAGTTCAAGGCTGAAAGGTTGGTAATTTTCTGGGTCAGGCAGTTAAAAGCTGTTTGTGAAACAACAGTGGAGATCCATCCATCCATCCATTTTCTACCCTTTAATCCATTTCTGGGTCAGGGGGGTGGCAATCAGAGATGCCACCCAAGTCTCATAGCACCAGCCCCTCACTGACCCTCTGCAGGTGGTGAGTCCACAGGAGGACGGCTGCTCTCTGAGTGTGAGCATAGCCTTGATCTTTCAGTGGGGGAACAGTTTTCCTGAAGATGTGAGACAGGCCTCCTCGATGACAATGTTTAAAACCAGGTTAAAGACAGTTCTGTTTAGCTGTGCATACAACTGAGGGATTTTATATTTCTTTTTAATGTTCTGTGATAATTTATGATTTTTGTTCTTATTTTGTTCAGCAGTTTGAATTGCCTCGTGTATGAATTGTGCTATATAAATAAACTTGCCTTGCCTTGCCTAGCCTATATATATTGTTAGTAACTTTTGGAATTATGTATATATTTGTTGGTTGGATGGGTTTCTGCTCCTGGACACCTGAATTTCACAGGGATCAATAAAGCATCTATCTATCTATATCACAAGTATCCATCTATCTTTTCCATATCCATACACTTTTTTCCATTCCATTATAATTAAAGAATATCTGCATGAAGAACATTATTATTTCCATACCCATCCTTTATTTAAAAAAAAAAGTAGATAGAAAGAGGTATTTTCTTCAGGGATGACTTGCAGAGCGCACCTTAAATATATTATACGCCGGCAGACAAGAATCTATAGGGAAAGCAGGGAACAAGACGTCTCGCATTAGCATATTCCCAACGACTCGCACATCTGTATCTTGCCTCAAAGCAGCGCCACATTTACACCCCCTCCGATCCGCTTCATGTGTGCGTCTGTGGGACATACAAGCTGTCATGGCCACGGCCTGTTTTTCCATTCTTTCACACCGTGTTCCACCTGGATGATCTCACTTCCACAGCTCATAAAGCAGAAAGGAAATCCTATTTAGCTCTGTGCACAGCGTCATGACAAGGTGTCGACTGCCTCGCCAAAAAACCTGCAGGCGTAGATCAGCGCGCGGCGATAAGGAAGCTGCACGCGCGCTTTTTACGCTAAAAAATATAGGTTATCTAGAGTCACCAAAGCGGGCGGGGGGAGCCCCGGAGGGCAGCCCCGCATGGGTTTTGGGTCTGATAAATGCACGCATCCCCGGAGGTCAGCGCTCGTTGGCATGTATTAGCTCTAGAATTGCCACAGTTATCCAAGTAACGGTAGAGCGATCAAAGGAACCATAACTGATTTAATGAGCCATTCGCAGTTTCACTGTACCGGCCGTGTGTACTTAGACTTGCATGGCTTAATCTTTGAGACAAGCATATGCTACTGGCAGGATCAACCAGGTAGCCCTGAGTGGAGCCAGGACCGTGCCCGTGCGGGGGGCACGGTCTCCTGGGTCGTCGGGGTCGGAACTCGGGCGCCCGCACCCCAGGCAGGGTGCGGGCCGTCCGTGGGCTTTCAGCGTTTCGGGAGCCTCTCCTGGGCTCCTTCTTCCGAGGGGTTCGAGAAACAGTGTTCTCCGCCTGGACCTCCGCGCCGGGTTGGGGTGGGGTGTGAGGAACAAGCCCCCAGCACACCACCCCAGGCGGGGGACAGACGTCTCTGGGCATCCGGGAGAGACAGGGCGTCTCGGTCTCGCCACCCACAGGTCCGGCGAGAGCCCCCAGCCCGCGCTGGGAGGCTGCCGAGTAGCGTCAGGCATGCAGTGTGAGGGAACCGTCTGGCTCGAATCACTTCCACCAGGAGCCCCGCAGAGGCATGCCGTGTGCACCATTCGAACGGCCTCGTCGAGACGAATCCGCAGATACCACATGTGTCTATGTTTCTGTTCATCGACCAACACCCTCTCTATATTCCCCATATAGGTCCCTTGGAGAAAGTGGTTTGACCTCGCCTTTTTGGGACGTAGCGTGAGGATTTTTTCGTCAGCCCGGGAGTCCCGGGCTGAATTTTCAAACCGCTCTAGAACCGGCCCCCGGTGTCGGACCGACACGCCCGAGACGTCCACGTGTTCGTCTCGACCTGGGCTACCATCCCTGAAAATTTCAGCCCCCTGGAATAAGAGGCGGGAAAGTTATAACCGTTTTGGGACGTTTTTGGTCAGCCCGGGAGTCCCGGGCTGAATTTTCAAACCGCCACAGAACCGCGCCCCGGTGTCGGACCGACACGCCCGAGGCGTCCACGTGTTCGTCTCTCAACCTGGGCTACCATCCCTGAAAATATCAGCCCCCTGGAATAAGAGGCGGGAAAGTTATAGCCGTTTTGGGGACGCAGAGTGAGGGTTATTTCTCGTCAGCCCGGGAGTCCCGGGCTGAATTTTCAAACCGCCACAGAACCGCGCCCCGGTGTCGGACCGACACGCCCGAGGCGTCCACGTGTTCGTCTCGACCTGGGCTACCATCCCTGAAAATATCAGCCCCCTGGAATAAGAGGCGGGAAAGTTATAACCGTTTTGGGACGTTTATAGGTTTATTAATATTAATGCGAGCGGCGCGTCAGAGTCGACAGCTAACATTGTGAAGGTGCGAGGCTCAGCGGGGAGAGAGTGGCAGTGAGAGGGAGGAAACAAGCGCTTTTACAATCGCTGGAGGAGCAGAACAAGACCAATGTGATAACAACAAACTCAGGCTTCAGTCAAATCCACTTTCGCGCAGTTTGTCTGGATAGAACCGTGTACTTTTGAACATACGTACACCAGAGAGGATTATTGATCTGAAGAAGTAATGGAGAGATTTACTCCGAGCAATGTTTCTCCAAGTAGAATCTATGACCATTGAATGTACTTTTGTTCAGCGATAGCAACTGCAAAGACTGTTCTTTTACCCAATATTATGCATGGTTAATAGAAATGGTCCTAAAGCAGGCAAAAACTTTCAACTCATAAAGAAATCAAACTGCTGTCAACCCTTGTAAAAAAAATATATTCTGAATAATATATATAGAAGCAAATACAAAAATGTATATTTTGTATCTCTCATAAGCCCGTGCATGCAGACAAATAAGAAAATAACTATCATCACAAAACTCATTGTATTAAAAGCTCAGCCCGATGTGTAGACAATGAGGTTCGGAGAAATCTTTTTATGAAATACAAGTTAACCCTAAAACACAGAGAATGCATTTTTTCTTTTACAGGGACGAGTGGTGAGCAGCAGATTATTTTCAGCAACACACTTGAGTCCGATTTGTACCACTGTTGACGTAAAACATACACCCACATCCATGTACAGAAAAAGCAGCCAATGTTGATAGAATACATTTCTTAGCATATACAATGAGACATCATAGAATTGGCCTTCTCCAGAGGCACCGCTCGGCCTGTACAACAGTTAGCTGGGCCACAAGGTGAAAAGAGTAATAGCCATTGAATGCAGAAGACCACAGATTCTGAGCCAAAACGCTAGCCACAAAAGGTCACAAGCCGGTTTACCTTTGTGCTGATCTGGGACCTAGATTAATGAGAAAAGAGAGCAAAGCCAGGAAAGGCATCTGGCATAAATTTTGCTGAATAAATCATGCAAACTAGATGCGACAACACTTGCAACCTATGCTACATTTTTTTCCTGATGGAATTGAAATTCAAGTTAGGCGGAATTCATTTTTTTATATATATATTTGCCTTTTTTGGAGGTAAAGAAACCACTCGAATACCCTTGAACACCCCCTTTGCGGGCTAGCTATAAATGTACGCTTCACATTGAGGCAAGATCTCAAATTAAACGCTTCATTTATCCCCCGACAAGTCCCGAGTTTGAATTACAAGGTTAGCTAACACTTTGCCGTCCCGGCGCACGTAAAATGTTTGCTCATGTAAAATGTGCCTCAAGGTCATTGCACAGTGCAGTTCTGTTTGACGCCTGAGCTATAAAGAGGAAGATGTAAGCACACACACAATTCTTTTGACATTGCCGGAAAAGTGTGAAACGGGTGCATATCTTCAGAGGGAAGAAGAGAAAAAGTACATTGCACCTGCGCCCAAGGTGGAGGTTACCGACTAAAACCTTTTTAAGTCTCTGCAGAGCTGCCAAAATAGGGATTAGAGAGGTTTCGGGTTGATCAAAATGTGGACACGCTCTTCCCTGGGTCACCTTAAACCACCGTTATGCAGTCGCAAAGAGGAGATTACGGAATAGATCGGAGAAAGGCAGGTGCCAACGAGTTTGTGATCCTCTCCACAATTGCTCCAATGTAGTCTGAGCCTATGTAGAACTATTTCCAGAATGTTAAAAAACTGGGAACCATGGGCCTGCATGCCTTTGTGAAAACCATTGCGCTTTAATTTGATTTGAATTATGTTATTTATTTTCAAAGGTTTGAATGGCCTGGCCCCTCCTACCGTATTTAGAATAATCGATCTGTAATATATTGGGCTTTCTTAGACACTCAAAAACGCTTCATATGACATTATAATAATAATAATAATAATCTCTATTTGTATAGCACTTTTAAAAACAATGTTTACAAAGCGCTGCACAGTCAGCATGATAAACAATAAAACAGTCATAATGCAAAGTCAAAATAATTAGATACAGGAAAACAAAGCAGACAGAGAAAAAGACAAGAAGGGAGACACAACAAAGACAAAGCAGACATTAAAATACAGCATGTGAAGTTTAAAACTAAAATTTAAAAGCTGTTTGATAAAAGTGGGTTTTAAGGAGTGATTTAAAAGAGGATACTGATGGTGCTAGCCTTACCTCCTCGGGCAGGTCGTTCCAAAGCCGAGGGGCCGACATTATTCATTCCCTCCCTACACTGTGGTGATAAACTAAAGTTGCCCTGGGGCAGAGTGACAGAAGCGAGGGAACCAGTATGTGATTTCGGCCCCTCCGACCACCAGCAGTAGAATTGGACTTGCACACTCCAGACTCATACCTTTCTGACCTGATCCACCATTACTGCTATTTGACTCTGTGGTCATTCAGCTGAAGCTTGTCGTACCACAGACAAAACATATTGAGCTTGTTGGGGACAGTGTTTTGAAGTCACTTATAACAATAGCTGCGTAAGGTCGGTGAACCCTCCACTTAGCATGGATTCAGAAAAGAAAATTGGTGAATAAAGTAAGTACTAAACAGTGGAAAGGGCTAGGTGTGCAGAGGTCAGAGAACTGAGAACTTATATCAGTATTGTTTTTTTTGGTTTTTTTTACATACAATACATAAAGTATGGTGTAGTCATACAATTCATATTCAAGGTTTGACTCCTGGCTAGCTTGCCATTTTTATGGGTTCGGACTGAGTTATCGCAACAGGTCTATATTTATTTATGGGAGAAAAAAAAACATTTGAATGGAATATACATATCATATTGGTCATAAAATAAATATAAGTAACGGAAATCTTTAATTAAAAAGATAGAGAACAATCAACTAAAAATTAACATTCTTCATTAGTGATCCTGATTTATTAACAGTATGTGTTACCTCTGCCTGTGGGTTTTGTTTTCATGGGTTTGTGTGTTAGTGACGTTACTTTGGATTTATTTTCCATTAAAGTGATAGTCTGGAACTCTAAATTAATTACACATTTTAAGAATTGTATTAAATTGACCTCCTGGCCTTAAATGTTGATATAAAATAAGTCATTTTATGAATTCTAATATTACGGGTAAGTCCCGCCTTCCCTGCTCTTAGCTATAGTTCAGAATCCACGGTGCCGTCGAGGTTAACCAATCAAGTGATGCCAAGGGCTGTCAATCATCGCGCTGATGCTCGTAGCTGCGCATGCTCAGTTGTTTGTTTTCACGGAGCCTCTATTAGGCTCTGGAACTACATGAAAACTGAACAAATAATTCTGAACATCTGCGATGAGGTACTTATGTATATACTGACCCTATATCCACAATCAGATACTCTGCAGATGTGTCTGCACTTTAAATCTTGGGACAAAGAACAATGATTGAATGATGGAACCAGGAATGGAACTGCACCCATCGGCGGAGGTTCTTTTCTACTTCATAATTGCGATAACCATAACTGTATGGCCCTGACGCATACATCCAAATAAGGAAATACTACTGACATTTCAAATACTTTGTGACATTGTGGTGCTGGCCGGAGCTTTTGCTGATTTATATTTACCCGTATGATGCTGCCATGTTGATGCCAGAGGATGAAGTGCTTAGGTCGACGACTATTTCAAACTCAGCACTTTCACTTATTTGTTCAGGGACACGCTAGAATTGCCGACTAAACCTCTTTTACTTTTAGCAAAATGATCCATGCTAAACGATCCCGACGGATCATGTCAAACCCAGAAACAAGCTGTGGTTTTGTTCAACGGCAATCAAAACTCCACAGTGTAGGAAAGATACATGTGCACAAAATGGAAGCTTAGTGGCTGTAGTTATGCCAAGGTTTTTTTTTTTTTGTTGAAAATGTAAGTGACAATACTGTGTCCGTTGGTATATATAATATTATTTAAAACAAATTATATAAATTTTTATTTTTTTCCTCACATCACCTGTTGTGACCGATTCTATTTTTACTAAGAACGGAACCACATATATTTACATTTGAAACACATACAGTACATATAAAATAGAATAATGGTGACATATGTATCTTTAGCAGTATTGCTTATGCATTTTGGCATGGATGAAAACAAATCCCATACCTCAGTGATCTTCTCCTATGTTAACACTTTTCTTGTCATATTTGATCAATACTAACTGATCTTCATAATAATAATGATTCATGAATATCACAAATTAAAACAACATACAAAAGAGTCTCATATTCAGTGTCTTGCCTTAAAGGTGCAGTATTTTCATTTATTTTATATGTGTTCCCAGATAGTAAGTTAAAACGTACGAATCGTATGTATAAATACATATGTTTTACGAAACATTATTCATAATGAGTAATAATTCATTAAAAAAACAAAAAACAAATGGACATGTTCTCTAAATATTTATGCCTACAATTTTCAACTAGATTATTCAATCAGAGAGGAGAATGAAACTCCCACTTGGGTTGCCAGTTTGTTGGGTGACATTGGGCTCCTCTTTTATAGCAAAACAAAAACACATAACACATTCATTTGCCACAGTACAGGCAGGAACATTCTGGAAACAACAGTTGGTTTGTAGCCGTAATTTTTGTATTAGACCACTAATGGTGCATTCTACAAATAGTCCCTTTAACTTGACAATTAACGGGAACGTTTTTAAAGCTTATTTAAAAACCCTACTCTCCCTGACTCCACCAGCCACTGCTACGCACAGATAATAATGATGGCTTCGACCTGATGCAACAGGAGCCGCGGGAGCCTGTGAGTGACAGAAGGACAAGGAGGAGGGAGGGCCAACACCAGGCAAAGCCGTTTTCTTCAACTATTCCACTATTTGGTTAATGACCTCATAAAAGACGCAGCGAGTGATTTTACTGCGGAACAGAGAGGAGACAGAAAGTGGGGATAGAGGGAAGTAGAAATGATTAGACAAAAGAGGAGAATGGATGGATGAATGAAACCATGGATATATATATAGGCTTATTAAATATTGTATTCCCATTTATTGTGAGTTTATATGAATCCATGTGGTATGAGCTATTCCAGATTTTTTAAATAGGAAAATAAAAGTATGTACAAGCCTGAATGAATCCAATATCACTCCGTAGTGCACTGTTAAATAATAGTGTTTCCAGCACAATAGAGTATTTAGAACTACAGAACTTCAGACAGTTCAGATAAAATAAAAACAAATTGACAATACTTTGGCCCTAATTGCATTCTCAGCCGTGCGCTTCAGATTATATGTGGCAGAAAGACATAGGCTCGTCCTGTTGTTTTATTCAAGGATTTGTATTTATTAGTTGGAGTGCTTACCTCTCTTTTACATGGTATTATATGTATTGGTTGCACTGAAAGAGGACGCAGCTATAAGAAGCTATACCCTATTCATAAAAATGCTTATTACTACATACAAGTTCTATTATAATCCGTAATTTAATGGAAAACTTGAGGTCATTGATTCAGCTTGTGTATGAATTCAGGCCGTAAAAAGTGCTGAGTAGAGACTTAGCGTGACGCCCGCTCTCCTCCACTCACCGAACGAGCCTGCGTCCTCTAGCCTCTACAGCGCTGCTAAACACAGAAGCATGTTTGCAGAATTGGCTATTACTCCTTTTGCTGTCACTGCATACACAGCAAAACAGCCCAAACGACACAACAGTGATGAAAATAAGAGGGAACCAAAGAGAAAAAATGATCGAAGAAGAAATCAAGCCCGGGTGAACATAGCTAGCTTACATCGTATCCTCTGGAGAGACTTGTCTATGGGAGAGACCAGCGGGACCGCCTCGGACTATCTATGCTCGGACTACATTTGGATGCGAAACTAGCGGTAATCTTTCAATTATATATTTTGTTAGCAGTGCGTTGCTTTTGTACCATTTCATCAGTGATTGTTGCACAGCTTACAAGAAGTTGCGCTCATGCTAATGTTTGCATATAGATAGCAAATAAAACTAGATGGCTCCAGGGGATGAGAGCGTAGGGGAAATGAGAGAGTCAGAAAATTGAGGGGCGGTGCTAAACAAACCTTGCAGAAACGGGTATAGCCTTTAAGATGTTGTTATTTCGCCCCCGCAGGGTGATTTGTTCTCTGTATTTGATGTGTCAGTGGAAACCGGAGCACCCAGAGGAAACCTTCGCAGACAGGGGGAGAAAGTATAAACTCTACTCAAAAAGGCCATATTCTGATTGGCAATTTCAATCCATGACCGTCCTACTGAGAAGCGAGTGCTAATAAAATGATTATCACAAAACTACATTGGTATTCTAAACCCAAAATACATATAATCTCATAAAGACCAAAAAGGTACATTTTAAGTCAATATGATTCTATTGTTACGTTATTTCCGGCCTGTAACTCGTGCACATTGCATCGCACACGCCAATCCACCCCAAAATTGTCAAGCAAAAGCACCTCCCACTTTCAGAATATAGGAGAACCAAATGTCATTCGCACATATCTTATTTTATCCTGTCTTCGCGCCTCTCTTCTCCTCATCCTGACTTCCCTTCACGCTTCAGTCCATGCGCGTTCAGAAAATACTTCACACGTGTCTGCGAGCGGCTACAGCCAGTTGGAAAATCCCTTTCAGCAAAGCCTTCACCTTCGGTCCTCCCTGCTCCTTCTGCTTGCCTTCATTCACACCTTCCCTCTGTCCCAGGAGCATCCACTCATTCTGTAACTTCCATCGACCCGTGCGGACCTGTTAATGTAAATCCCAGCACATTTCTCACCATGACAATTTTTACATATGCACAAGCTGCCTTTTTACGCCCTGATAAATGTGTACCTATACGACCTGTCGGCAGATTAATATATTCACACCTTATGCTCTGTCTGAACCATCTTTTTTATGTCTGCTACAGAATGTTGCTTTTAAGAAATATTTTGCAAAATTTGTTTTAATTTTGTCTCTTTACCAGGATTTTGGGATTTATTTTCAACGATTTCAGAATGTGAAATGTGAGTGCTTCCATCAAGGGATCAAACAATTATTAGTTAAACTTTGGAGATGTCATGACACTTTGAAGTAACTGTGGTTAAAGTCAAAATCATCATTCCAACAATATACTCAAGGCAGTACTTTTCCACTATATGTTTTGGTTATCTCAAGGTTGAAGTTTCTGGCACGTTGGCAGCGGCTGATTGGACTGTCTATGATTCGTCCGATAACTTATCACAAGCATTCTGTAACAGCTTTGTTTTTCTACCATCGACAATAAAACATGTCTTATGTCTGAATTAAAGACACGACCCCAGACGATTGTCATTTTCTTCAAAACCATGTAAAAAGGTTTGTTTCTTTTCAAGGACTAGTCCAAATAACATGTACGAGCACATGCATGGCACACACACATACACACATATATCGTATTGAATGCCATAGAACGATTACATTCCAGGCACATCATCCAGAACGATTACATATGCACCTTTTAATATTCACCAGGCGTAACACCTGCATTGGCCGTACTCTGAGACATATGGGATACAGTTCAATTTTCCAGCGCTGGAGATTACAGGTCATCATTATTATTCCTTTACATATGTATCCAAGTCAGATTCAACAGGCATGCACAGCTCATTACTTTATCATGGGGCAGCCATACGGGGACGCCCGCAAAAAAGACCACAAATATGAACCTTTAACCGTGAAGTTTTAATATTTGTTGTATAAAACAGCAGAAACCAGCATTACATAACAGCTGAAGCAATGATTGCCATTAAAACGTATTGACAATTATTGGCTCTGTGACCTAATTAAATGACAGTTCATACTCATCACCTAATAGAAGCTTGATGTCCCTAATTTCAAACATTTCATGTAGGTAAGATTTATATAAAGGTATAGAAAGGTAAGGTAAGGCTATATAGGTAAGGTAAGGTCATGTATATAGGGAAGGTATATATAGGTATAAAAGGTAAGATAAGGCTATATAGGCAAGGTAAGGATATGTACGTATATATATATATATATATATATATATATATATATATCATCACGTGTCCCCTCTGACGAAGGTTGAAATCTACTGAAAAAAGGTGTCAGGTAATTAAGCAGTACTCGCATCTTTACAATCTTTGTCTTATTTAAAGAACCATATAAAACCTTGCGCTGGAGGACATGTTAGAATTGATTTGTAAAATGTGTCCTTAAAACGCACAATAGTCGTCCTTGTTTTTGTTAAATTTAATAACCAGGGTCTTTCCACATAAATCAAAGCCTGGCACAAAGTTCAATTTAGTTGCTTTAGCACTTGAGGATTTTCTGTTTATTTGGCTGTGATTTGCAAGCATACCTTCTCCAACATGTAATTTGGGGTTTATTGAAAGAAGAAGCAATACAGTTTATAGTAAATGTTTGTCGTTGCAAGCTGAGCACATTCACTGTTCCCTGAAGCGGATTTAAATATGCCTGGATTCAATTAGATGCACCAAAGAAGGCAATTATCACGAAGCAGGAAGTATCTAGCTAGGATATCTGCAAAACAGGATGTGCGGAAAAGTACTCAATGCACAAATGCTCAGACAAAGAATAGTTTGATTGGTGGTTAAACCTGTAGGGTGAAGTATTCAATGACCACCTGGTAAATGGAGCTAATGAGATGTATATTAGCATGGTTGCTAAGCCAGTTTGGCTAAATAAATACAATTATCCTTTTATAATTCTGTCCTTTTTAGTGATTGTCTGTTGTAATAATCACAGCAGATAAGACGGGTTAGACTTTCAAAAAATGTTAACATGATTGCATTTAAGACATTTCTCAAAGGTTTCCAAAGGTTATCCAAGTTTGGCCATATTTTGAGATACAGTATACTCTTACTGCTCTGGTTTGCAATTGATGACATCAGACTTTGATTTTAACCATAGACCGTAAGAGTGGACTGACCGAGTGCTGACGGAAAAAGGGGATTTGAATGAAAGCGAGCTGGAGCCAACTTCTTTTTATTGGCATTCGCTTCGACGACGTTAGCTTTTTACCGTAACAGGGGCAGACGGTGAACAAAATTGTTCGCAAGCTGTAGTTTAATCCGCCAATGAAGGCAGCTTACTGGTCAATCTTAATGCAGCTTTTACTTTGATTTACAAATTGAGTTTTCAAATATACAATCCAACTCACAGTGCTTCACAAAAAAGGGAAAAGATAAATAATCGCTGTGCATTTAAACAAGTGAAGAATGTCGCGCTTTGAATAGTAATTATTGTGGTAGGCCTAATAAACAAAGGGGTTATCAGTGTTTCAATATGTGTAATTATTTCTGTCTGTATGAAACAAAACACAGCCGCTTTATCGCCATAACGCTGGCAGCTTATAGGGTTAGTCCAGTTCAGCAAATACCCTTCAGTTTATTAATACGAGACACAATCCAGGCCAGTCTGCCTTCACCCGCTTTATACAGTCTGTTTTGTGTCTTTTCCCGAAATTAGCTGAATGGATTGTGAGAACGTCATTCATGTCTTTTCCCTTTGAGAGCTTCCAGATTAATTCCCCCTTTGAGAATCAGCGAGACAATACCATGCACGGAAACAATCCACTGAACAAAAGTTACATAACTCCATTGTGTATTTCCGCAGCCGTTCCAGTCAGAGCAGGGACTTAACCGGGCACTGCATTGCTCTCAGAGATTGGTTTAATAAAGTGGGGAGTCAGCGGGCAAAGTTGGCGAGCGAGCTAGGAGGCGTGAGGATTATTTAAGACTTATTTTTCAAAATGAATTACTCAAAATAAGTAATTGACAAACTATTGATTTTATGATTATTCTATGCTTTTAGGATTGATTTCATTAACTTACTTGCCCTCCATGGTCTTGCCCCAGAGTATTTAACAGAACTTTTGTCTCTTTGTGAGCCAGCATGCTGTCTGAGGTCCTCTGGCACAGACCTGCTTTCTGTTCCCAGCTCCAGGCCTGAAAGCAGAGTGGACCATGTCTTATACACAGACCCCTCGGCTGTGGAACGCGCTTCCCGAGGAACTCAGGCCAGCAAATTCTGTAGATAAATTTATAACTCTCAGAAAAACACTTTTACAACAAGATAATTTGCATTTCATTGCTGTACATGTCATCCATCCATTTTTTTCCCCTTAATCCATGTCTGGGTTGTGGGGGGTGGCAGTCAGAGCTGCACCCAATTCACAGAGCACCAGCCCCTCACTGATCCTCCTGCAGGTGGTGAGTCCTGTGGACTACAGGAGACTTGAACTTTCAGTGGTGGTTTCAGTGGGATTAAGTGTCTTGCCCAAGGACACAATAACAGCAGACATCAGTGGGAGGTCTCGTGGTGGGCTCGAATCCACGACCATCAGGCCCAAAGGCCAACTGAGCCTCTGTCACCCCTAATGTACATGTCCTTCATCTGTAAATATGTAAATATTGAAATCATATGCCATGCAACTTCTAAATGTCCACTGAATATCACTTTATCTTCTTATCCTGCTTTATATGAATATAACTTTGCACTTTACTGTATAATGATATTTTCAAAGATTGATATTAAAGCATTTACATCTAGCTGAAAAGCATAGCAGCTACTTACAATATTTTGTGTGCTCTCTGTGTGCTCTTACTGCTGTCCTGTATGTGCGCTGCAACATTGAAAGTTTCCCCACTGTGGGACAAATAAAGGATCATGTCATTTTGATCCCCTTCATTTCTGTCGCCCCGACAGTGGCCGACAGTGGCTGACTGTCCAATAAAGGATCTCTTATCTTATTAAATGTCTTCTTATTTCAAATTTTACAATTTTTTTCATCTAGTTGTTTTCTGCATTTTTGTGATCTTCATCTGTGTGTGAGTAGTGTGAAGATCTTAGTAACTATTTTTTGGAAAAGTGCTCCTCCTTTTGAGGGCGACAGTAGCTCAGTTGGTAGTCATTGGCCCGACGGCCAGAAGGTCGTGGGTTCATTTCCCACCTCTACACCTTCTCCACCGACTCCCACTGATGACTGCTGTCGTTGTGTCCTTGGGCAAGACACTTAACCCCACTTTGCCCAAAGCCCCCACTGAAAGATCAAGACTATGCTCACACTCAGAGAGCAGCCGTCCTCCTGTGGACTCACCACCTGCAGAGGGTCAGTGAGGGGCTGGTGCTATGAGACTTGGGTGGCATCACTGACTGCTACAAAATACATGTTCAGGCTTTAAATGTCAAACTAATGTTAGGATAGCAAAGGACGAAAATTTGTTTTACATATTCACACGATCCTATCACAAAGGGAACCAGCGATTTCAGTTGTTAAAAAATAATATTTACCTCAACAATAACTTCTCACAAAATGTGACAGTTTATATAAAGAAGAAGTGGATAATCCCTTTTTGAGTTAAAGGGCTGCATGTTTGCCCTCGCATATTTTTTTGTGCAAAGATTTCTCTACAAAGAAAGTTCATCTTTCAAACTAGGCTAAAAGTTTCTGTTTACAGGTTATGGTCCAATCATTTCAGGCTGGTTGTCAGTGCACAGAACATAGTGTTATTTCACCCCTATTGCGGAGAAGGAGAAGCGCAGGGCATAGCTCCTGGGAGACTTATGGTTTAGTGCGATGAACAGTCCATCAGTCCGCGCTGGAGTCACCCCCATCATACCCTCCTCCTCCTCTGCATCATCCATCTATCCATCGCTGTAAATCCTCATAACATTGCGCAGCTTTCGTCCACATATTTATTTATTTTCCTAGCCTTCGTTGGGTTTGTCTGCCGCCCTATTTTAAGCAGCTCATCCTATTGTGGAGCCTGTGGTAGGGGATTTATTGAAAAGGTTCTCATGCTTATTTAAGGCTTGTGCTTAGCTTGCGGGTCTTGGCGGCAGATACAGAGAGCGCGGGTTCAGAAGGGGAGAGCGAATGAAAAGGTGGAGGGCGGTGACTCAGGGAAAATGCACCGACTGCAATGGAAAATCATATATATTGAGAAAATGTAAAGAGTGATTTAAGTGTGGATAGAAATCATGTTGAATGATGCAGAGGGAAAGAACCGGTGGCTTTTTATAGTTTATTGGCATGAAAGATTAAAGGCGCACAACGCAACATTCCTGATAAAGGGAATTACAGTTCGTGTCTGCGGAGAGGCGATAACATCTGTATAATACCGAACTTCCAAGCAAAGCCTTAAACATCTCCAGGACAACAGTCATGAAGTGTTCCTTTAAGACAAAGAAATAAATACAGGAAGGAAGCTGAGTTCTGAAGTGTGATAAATACATACCGTAGAATTTATCCAGTGTTTGGCAAATGTACACTCAAGTAATACACATTATTGAGAGTAGGTAATACGCCTCAAAATTTGGATAAAGCCTCTTCTACTTTGTGATTAATTAGGTATATTACTGATTAGAAATGCAACAGCTGAACAAAAGTATTGGCCGATGTTTGCTTTATTATCTATCATCGGCAAAAAAAATGCCATTCGCTGATAGTAGGTGCGAGCAAGGAGATACTGGGCTGAGGACATTTGCGTACTTTCCTCAGTAGAAGAAACAAAGAAGATGGCAGCGGCCGTATGGTAATATTTTACATTATCAGAAAAAGATCTGCGTTATGCAGTTTGCAATTCGTGTTCCTGTGAGATTTCAAGACGGGGGACTGCTAGAAAATCATTTCACAAAACAAACCTCATTGGACATTTGAAAAACAAGCATTTGGTGGCTATAGTGCAGCCACCAAACTCATCTGCAGACTCATCTGCAGACGTTGATGCTCAGCTGGGTCTGGACTATTTTAACTCGTGATCCCATGATGCATATTTTGGAACACCCAGAAGAAACCCATCCAGACATAGGGAGAAACTCGACACACAAAGGCCAGACTGGGAATCAAACCCATAATTAGTTAGTCCTTCGTGTTATATGGAGATAAAAGCAGCACTAGTAGGTCTCGCAATAAAATAATGATATCTTAGAAAAACAACGACGTCTTTTTTTTTTCTTATACCAAAATATGTTTCTTCTGTGGTAATTATTATATTCATCTACTACTTGTTTGACCTGACAGCTCGATCTCCAGATTTTTCACCGGGTGTTGCTTCTGTCACAGTCTGTACATAATATTCTGGCAAAACACAATTTTCACATTATGATTGTTGCCAATAGAATTAATTTTCATTTAACACATCTGCCACTGATTTGTCTCTAATCCAAACCCCATTTTCACAAAATCAGGGTTTGGCTCATGCATCTTCACGTGTTGTCATGATGTAAACATATACATTTAGTCCATATGCCCCAGAGGTAAATTCATAAACATACAGAAGCGTCTCATATTTTTTCTGATCTTATTCTACATTAGGGTGGGTTTTGATTTCCCTGGGTTGTAAATATGAACTCTCAATGAAGCCATTTGGCTGAAAGTCTGAGCTAAGAGACACAGCTCAAAAATGTATTAGGGGCATAAAGACATGAGCAGTCTTTATGTCTCTAAAATGGCCGTCATTATGGCCCTTTTAAAATACTGTATATTAAAATCATAGCCATACATTTTATCTGTCAAATTGCATATATCATGAGAAGATAGGAGCTACATAAAATTAAGTAATATTGTTAAATGTAACTATCATTGAGTCTCATAAAAAAGAGCATTTTGTACTGTTAAACAATCAAAACATTGTCGCATTTTTGCAAGTCTGTTCCAGTTGCAGGTCATGTAAGTGTGTGATGAACCCCACTCAGTGTTAAAACAGGCGCCTCTGACCATCCAATGTTTTTCCATGTTTATTTGTTGTGTGTTGTTCCTGTGAGGTCTGAGGCTGCTCCAGGCTCCAGAGAGGGAAGAGGAGGGTTTTGCGTGTGATTTTGTATATGTGTGTTGTATTGAGTGTATGTGTATGTGTGTGTGTGTTTGTGGTGGTGGGAGGGGGGCTGTCACTGTACATCAGCCTCTGCTAACTCCAGTGTCCAGCGTACCACAGCCCAACAGCCAAGAGATACAAGACGGGAACACCGAGGCAGACACTGTAAAACTGTAAAAAGATTGACAGGGTGATCCATTTGTCTAAATATACTAACTCTATGTTCTATCATTATTTTATCATAATGCATTTGACCTTTACCATAATGCATTTGATCTTGCATTTTGGACTTAGTTGAGCCACTTTACCCTCAGAGTGTTTATATAACATATGGTAGGTACTGTGATTGTTTAGGTGCTGTTGTGTTAAAGAAAACATTAAATGCAAAACTGTCTTTGTGGACCTAGAGAAAGATGTTATAAAGTTTGTCTCCCATCTCTCTTTCTTTCTCATATATTTTGAGTTCATTTTGTTGTCCAAACAGCATATGCGGAGGTGGACAGACAATGGAATCATTTTTTAACATTTAAAGCGGCAGCATGGTTCTAGTCTGATTTAATTTGTTTTGTTTTTTTAGATAATTGGTTAGTGATTTTGAGTTTCTAATACACCGTATTTATAATCTGTAAATAAATAATTATACATGGACCTGACTTGGACTTGACTTGGACTCCTTGGCCAGAGACTAGGACTTGCAAGTCAGGGAATGATGTGCATCTCTGAGCTATAGTGGGGAAACTGTCACGAGCAGAGCCATAGACGATGCTTGGTCAGGACCGCCTTCACTGTAGGATTTTACCAACATCATTTTGACTATATTTCTGAAAAAATAGTCCTTCTTCACTACTGCATGTCTAAATTTGCTAACTGTATTGTCTGATGTCAAAATAAAGAAAACAGACTAACACAGATTAAACAGCCTAACCAACAATGAACTACATGGAAACTCACTGGAAAATCTTTCACCTGTCCCTCGTGATCAGTGCTACAGACATAAAACAGAGACCTCCTTGTATCCATATGCATCTCCTATTTGTCAATGATCCTGCAAAATCCACAATTATGATTGCATTTAATTCATTTTTATCTGTCATCATACCATCCAACTATGTTCTTTGTGGCTGCAGTCAAGATTCCGAATTTCTTTACTTTCTATTTTTAGACTTGTTTTGCACTGTTGACAGCTCCGTTCCTGGCACTGGCCTCCTCTCACCTCGACTCCTCGACTTCGGTCCGGACACGTCACATGTCCGATGGCACAAACAGCTTCTTACATAACACCAGTTGTCACCGCACAAATGCCAGTTTTACCTGATGTCTATGTTCTCAAGTCAATTCTGCAGTTAGAGACCCATGTTCTGTATGCACGTATATGGGGCTTTGATGATACTACAGAGGATAATATCTGGAACACCACTAATAATGTTCAATTATACTTAAACGATGTTGTATTTGACTTGATGATAGTAATTTAATCCACCTTCACTAATCTGCAAAATTAGTTAATTTGCCGCATAACAAGAAGTTATGAGATGATATGGAAGGAATTTTCAAGAAACAACTGTGATGGCACGATGCAAAAGATTTCACTTTTAATTTTTTTCTATTTTGTATCACGGAATATAGGAAAGGCAGGACAGAATCGGCATTCTTGCACATAATTGTTTTGTTTAAGATAAATATCCTTTATTCACAGTGGCACGGTGGCTGAGTGGATAGCACTCTCGCTTCTCAGCAAGAAGGTCCTGGTTTTGAATCAGGGCCTTTCTGAACAGGGCCTTTCTGAGTGGAGTTTGCATGTTCTCCCCGTGTCTGCGTAGGTTTTCTCTGGGTGCTCCGGTTTCCCCTACCACTAAAAACATGTAAAATAGGTCTGGCATGCGCCTCCTGTACTGGCGACCCCGCTCCCATCTCTTTATGGAGTGAGAGATAAATACCCAAAAATAACAATTGTAAACCGCTTGAACGAAACTTGGTCTGAGAGTAAGGTGGGTATATAAGTGAAGATTATTAACTCTCTCATTATCCTCCTCTCCGTTGTTGTTGTTGAGAGTGAGATATAATCTTCATTTATATACCCTCCTTTCACACGCCCGGGTCACAAAAGCGGTTTTACAATTGTTATTTTTGCGGGTTATTTATCTCTCACTCCATAAAGAGATGGGAGCGGGTTGATTACAGGAGGCGCATGCCAGACATATTTTTACATGTTTTTAGTGGTAGGGGAACCGGAGCACCCAGAGAAAGAAAACCCTACGCAGACAATGGGGAGAACATATGCCAACTCCACTCATGAAAGGCCCTGTTCAGAAAAGGCCTCTGATTTCAAAACCAGGCCTTCTTGCTGAGCAGCGAGAGTGTATCCACTCAGCCACCGTGCCACTGTGAATAAAAGGATATTTATCTTAAACAAAACAATTATGTGCAAGAATGCCGATTATGTCCTGCCTTTCCTATATCAGTGATACAAAATAGAAAAAATTAAACAGTGAAAATCTTTGCATCGTGTGCCATCACCGTATTTGAAAATCCTTCCATAACATCTCTTAACTTCTTGTATGCGGCAAATTAACTAATTTTGCAGCATTAGTGAAGCTGGATGAAATTACTATCATCAAGTCAAAAACAAACATCGTTTCAAGTATAATTGAACATTATTAGTGGTGTTCAGATATTATCGCCTCTGTAGTATCATCAAAGCCCCATATCGTGGCATACAGAACATGGGTCCTCTAACTGCAGAATACATGCGGGAACATAGACTTCAGGTAAATGGCATTTGTGCGGGTTGGACAACTGGTGTTAAGTAAGCAGCTGTTTGTGCATCGG